TATTCTATTCTATTCTATTCTATTCTATTCTATTCTATTCTATTCTATTCCTTTGATTCTACTTCTCTCATTCTTCTCCTACCTCTTCTTTCCCTCCTCCTTCTCCTTCTTGTCCTTGTCATTCTCTTCTCTTCTCTTCTCTTCTCTTCTCTTCTCTTCTCTCTTCTCTTCTCTTCTCTTCTCTTCTCTTCTATTCTCTTCTCTTCTATTCTATTCCGATTCCATTCTATTCCCTCTCTACTCTACTCTACTCTACTTTACTCCACTCCACTCAACTCCATTCCCCTGATTGCTCAATGGTTAGAATGCAGCATTCTGCCCACTGCCAGGAGTTCGATTCTCACTAGGCTCAAGGTTGACTCAGCCTTCCATCCTTCCAAGGTGGGTAAAACGACGACCCAGATTGTTGGGGGGGCGATAGGCTGACTCTGTAAACCACTTAGAGAGGGCCGGAAAGCTCTATGAAGCGGTATATAAGTCTAAGGGCTATTGCTGTTTGTTTCCTTTCCCTGTCCGATCTGGCCCCCAAGGCCCCCTCTTCTCTTCCCTCCTTCCACCAAACAACCCTCCCTCAAAATGCAAAACCTAGCTGGGCTTCATGGCCTTTTCTTTCTTTTTTCTTTTTTGTCTTTTGCATAAAATTGTAGGTTGCCTAGTAACCTGGGTGAGTTGTGGAGGAGGAATGCTCACGGAAAGCTTTTTTTTTTAAATTTTATTTTATTTTAAATCAGCCGTGGATTATTTTCCAACCTGTAAGACCTGGGCAGCCTTGCCCCGAGCTGATGCTCTCAGTAGGGATGCGTGCGTGCGTGCGTGTGGGTGTGTGCATGTGTGTAATACAGGTGGTCCTCGACTTATGACCACAGTTGAGTCCAAATATTTCTTGTGGCTAAGTGAGACAGTTGTGAGGTTTACCCCAGTGGTGGGTTGCTCCCGGTTCGCACCAGTTCGCAAGAACCGGTAGTAAAAATTTGTAGTAGTTCCGAGAACTGGTAATAACATTCGCTGGCCACGCCCCTGACCCGGTTGCCGCTCGCTTACCCCGCCCACCTCATCAGAGGCTTTTTTTTTTTACTGTTAAAAGCATTTTTTCTACAACCTCTTCAGCCAAAAAAATGTTTTTAAAAGTAAAAAAAAACAACAACAACCTCTGATGATCCCGCGGCTCAGCTGGGATCGTCAGAGGCTTTTAAAAGCATTTTTTTCTACAGGTTGTAGAAAACCTTTCTTAAGGTTGTAGAAAAAATGCTTTTAAAAGTAAAAAAAAAAAAAGCCTCTGATGATCGTGCGGCTCAGCTGGGCATGGTGGACGGGGGGGGGGGGGGGCCCGCAGGGATTTTTGCTACCGGTTCTCCGAACCATCCGCCGCCATCGCTACCAGATCAGGCGATCCGGTCCGAACCGGGAGCATTTCACCCCTGGGACACCCCTATTTTTACATCACCAATCAAGCTGCGACCCAGGCATCAGGAATAAATAGGAAGGAAACGTACATTGATAACGGCAAGAACATGCCTTAAGTCTGGGTGTAAGAGGAGCTGAACGGGGGTTCTCCTTGTGCAATGTCCTTTAGGCTATCTCTCTCTCTCTCTCTCTCTCTCTCTCTCTCTCTCTCTCTCTCTCTCTCTCTCTCTCTCTCTCTCTCTCTCTCTCCTTCCAGCCATTCCACTCCTATCTTTAGTATCCATCAATCATCATTAATTAGCAACAGTAATTACTCTCTCCTCTCCCCCTCCCCTGATGGCATTTTCCCTGGATAATTGTAAGTGGCTGACCCATAAATGCACTTTTTTTCCTCCTTGTAAGGATTGACCAGAAGTTAGTGCAGTGCAGTTATCTCATTTTTGCAAGGTGGGGTGGGGTGGAGTGGGGGAGATGCTGTGATTGGTTGGGTTCCTTGGGTGTTTGCAGATGGGGCACGCACAACCTCTTATTCCACAAGCTGTTAACCATCAACTTTTACAAGGATACCAATCTGGATGGGCTCTCTAGGTTTGCAAGATACATCCATCTCTCTCTCTCTCTCTCTCTCTCTTCATCCCTTTCTGTAGCTTTGTGTTGTGCTTCTACGATGTACAACGTCTACACAGTGTACAGCTTCGACAATCATCCATTTCTTCCTTCCCTGAAGAAAATCCTCTAAAGAGTTGTAACCGTGTGTTAAATATCCAGTAGCTTAACACAGAGAGGGAGGGAGGGAGTGGGACAGAGAGAGGGAGGGACAGGGAGGGAGGAAAGGAAGGAGAGGGACAGAGACAGGGACAGAGGGAGGGACAGGGAGAGAGAGGGAAAGAGGGAGAGAGAGGGAGAGAGGGAGGGACAGGGAGGGAGAGAAGGAAGGAAGGAGAGGGAGAAGGACAGAGGGGGACAGAGGGAGAGGGAGGGACAGGGAGGGAAAAAGAGGGAGGGACAGAGAGAAGGAGAGAGGGAGGGACAGGGAGGGATGGAGGGAAAGGGAGGGAGGGAGGGACAGGGACAGGGAGAGGAACAGGGACAGGGAGGGACTGTCTGACTGAACTGAGTTAACAGCATAACAGAGTTGGAAGGGACCTTGGAGGTCTTCTAGTCCAACCCCCTGCTCAGGCAGGAAACCGTACACCACTTCAGACAAATGTTTATCCAACATCTTCTTAAAAACAGGAAACCCAATAACTGTGATGGTGAACCTATGGCACGTGTGCCACAGGTGGCACGCGGAGCCATATTGGTGGACACGTGAGCTGAGCTCCAGCGCGCATGCGTGCTCCGGCCAGCTGATTTTTGGGCTTTCTGGGTCTACCGGAAGTTAGGAAACACACTGTTTCTGGCGTCCGGATGGCTTCCGGGGTGGTGGTGGGGAAGACCCATTTTTTGCTCTCCCCAGGCTCCAGAGCCTTTCTAGGAGCCTGGGGAGGGCAAAAACAGCCTTCCCCACCCCGCTGGAGGCCCTCGCCTTCTCCTCGTTGTTTTGATCCAGCCCTAAAGTCCTGCCGTCATGGCACGGTTGTTTATTTTATTTTATTTTTATTCACAGACCTGTTTTTTTTTATATCAGCAGTTTTATTACCACCAAGGACACTTTCTTCCACTTCACGTGTCCCCACCTTTTTTTAAAAAAAAACCCCCCTCTTTTAATCAACTCCTTCCTACTCTGTCTTGCAGCCTCTGTGCTTTTTTTCCTCTCCCTTCTTCTTCCTGACAGCCAGAAATAAATGGATTCCCTTGAAAAGGAAGCCTTGATAACAGGGCTATCAATTAATAGGCCCCTGTGAAATAAAAAAAAAAAAAGGAGGAGCTGGAAGATTTTCCCTTTTAGAATGCAAATGCGCTACCTTTTTAAGACACGCTTGGGTCGTTAGAGAAAACCAGATCAAACGTGTCAAGAGGGAAAAGTTTCCCCTTGCAAGAATTAAAATTGGGTGAGATCCGTACAGGTTGAGGTACTCAGTGCTTCTACTGGCCTTAGTAATGAGGCGATCAAGGCATCTGTGTGAAGAAGATGCTCTGCCTTCCGTTGTACAATTCCCCTCTTCATCCATCTCCCTAGCTCCGTGATGGCGAACCTATGGCACGCATGCCACAGGTGGCACACGGAGCCATATCGATGGGCACGCAAGCTCAGCTCCGGCGTGCATGTGCACACTGGCCAGCTGATTTTTGGGCCTTTTGGGCCCACTGGAAGTCAGGAAAAAGGCTGTTTCCAGCTTCTGGAGGGCCTCCAGGGGAGTGGGGAAGGCCATTTTTGCCCTCCCCAGCCTCCTAGAAAGGCTCTGGAGCCTGGGAAGAGCGAAAAACGGGCCTACCTTGCCATCGCATGCCAAAAGTGGGGGGGAGGGGGGGGGGGGTTGCACATGCATGCATGGGGGCGGGGCACATAGAATTATAGGTGTGGGCACGCATGCGAGCGACCCACCGCACTCCCCCCACTTTCGGCACATGATGGCAAAAAGGTTAGCCATCACTGCCCTAGCTGTTGTGACCTAGGCTCACTTAGTCATTACAGGACACAATTCTCAAACAAAAACTATTTTATTATAACAGCGGAGAATTACTTCATTCCCAGCTTAGTCCAAATTAATTCCAAAACAAGTCCTTCAGAAAAAGTCCCTCGGGCTTATCACAAACTTTTATCTTCTTTGGCACCCTGCCAAAGACCTTTCTTGGCAAAGCCCCATGAAGTTCAGAAACAAGAGACGCCGACTGGAAAACAGAGTTAGCAACGGCTCCTCCTGTTCCTCTGCCTCTCTGCTGTCCGACTCTGGAGGCTCCGGAGTCCACGCATCACTCTCAGATGGCCCCGGTCCCATCTCTGCCTCTGACGCAGAGCCCTCATCCGGGCCTTCCCCAGATTCCAGGACTGGCCCCTGTTCTTCCTCAGCCTCATCGCTGTCCGACTCCGCTGCCAGCTCCGCGCATCCCATTGGACTTGCAAGGCAATAGGATGTCCATGTGCAAAGAACATGGCGGCGATGAACATGGCGGGCGGGGCGAATGAGTGGCCACCGGGGGTGTTTGCAGCCGGCCATCGCTACCGGTTTGGTGACCTTGCCCAAATTTCCGCGAACGGTACGCGCGAACCGGTGTGAACCAGCTGAATACCAACTCTGGTGTCAAGCTCAATTTCACTGAGGGCCGCGTCAGGGCTGTGGTTGACCTCGGGGGGAGGGGGGAGACCGTGTGGGCATGGCCAGCTTGACGCCACTCCCCAAACTGCTGGCATGTTTCCTCTTTGCATTGGGTAGACCGGGCTGAAGTGGCGCAGGTAGACCGGGTTGAAGCGATGCAGGGCCAACCCCTTACATTTTCCACGACAGCCCTACGGGCCAGATCTGACCACATCATAGGACAGATTCGGCCTTTGGGCCTTGAGTTTGACACCCCTGGCCTAGGAAGTCTGTTTAAAGCGGACTGAAATTGTAACGTGCACCCCGTCCTGACAGAGCGTGTGGGAACATGCTTCAAACTGTAAGCACGATTGCTATTTCTCCTTCCATCTTTTTGTCTCTCCCTCCCCACCACAGGAGGTAGTCTTTCCAAACAAGATTGGACCATCCAGTGGCCGCCAACGACCGAGACCAGCAAAGAAAACAACTCCATGTGCCAATCCGAATCCATGCAGTGGATCCGAACTCACCTCTCTCTGAGCCCCAAGCCTAAGTCCAAGTGCATCCCACACTTCTGCCACCCAACGCTGTCCCACGAGCTTGTCTACACGCACACGGACAGGCTAACCGTGGAAGGTTTTCCGGGACTCTTCCCTCCGCTGGAATCCGGCCACCGCTCCTTGCCCCCTTCCCCACGCCAGCGGCATGCAGCCCACACCCCGCCCTGCACCCCGAATATCATCACCACCATGACAGCTCCAGGGACACCGCCGGTCAGGAGGAGGAACAAAGGGAAACCCCCGGGGACGCCGCCCCCTTCGTCTCGGAAGCTGATCCACCTTTTCCCGGGCTTCACCGTCTTGCATCGGAGCAAATCGCACGAGTTCCAGCTGGGCAATCGGGTGGACGAGTCTCACACCCCCAAGTAAGTGGACAGAAAACAAATTGGTTGGCAAACAGGGAGTTTTTTGGGGGGGGGCTTTGACCAGGCGGTACCCAGCTAGTTTTCAAGATTTCAGGCACCTTACCTGAAGGCCCAGAGGTTGGATTTTAAGGTTTACTGCTCACAGAGATGGTCTTGAGATACAGGAAGTCTTGAGCTACAAAAGGATGTTACCTAGTTGGGTAATGAAACATTTGCAAGAAAACCACGAAGCTCAGAGAGCTCCAAAACCCCACAGTCATCGTTCTCCACCTCCTCCTCCTCTCCCCCCATCCCACTCCCTTCTAGCACTGTGGCTCCTTCCTCCTCCTCCTCCTCCTCCTCCTCCTCTACATAACCCCCACTCCCTTCTAGCACTGATGATGTTACCTAATTGGGCAATAAAATGTCTACAAGAAAACCACCAGGCTCAGAGACCATCAAGGACCCTCAGTCTTCCTCCTCCTCTTCCTCCTCCTCCTCCTCCTCCTTCTCTCCACAAACCCAGTGGTGGGTTGCTCCCGGTTCTGTCCGGTTCTTGCGAACCAGTAGTAAAAGTGTCAGGAGGCTCTGCCCACCCACCCGAACATCATAATGGACAATCTGCACATTCGCAGAAGTTTCTGTGCATGCACAGAAGTGCATGTGTGCACAAGAGCAAAACAAGCACGTGTGTGCATGCCCGTTGCGAACCGGTAGTAAAGCTAAGTAGAACCCACCCCTGCACAAACCCTACTCCCTTCTAACACTGATGATGTTACCTATATGGGGTCCTTGGTGCTCTCTGAGCTTTCCTGCAGACTTTCATAACCCAAACTAAATAACATCGTCAGTGCTATTAAGGAGTGGGAGAGGAGGAGGAGAAGGACTGTGGGGTCCTCGGTGCTCTCTGTGGGGAATCACGTGACCTCAGGATCAGTGGTGGGATTCAAATAATTCAACAACCGGTTCTCTGCCCTAATGATTTCTTCCAACAACCAGTTCACCAAACTGTTCAGAAAGTTAACAACCGGCTCTCCCGAAGTGGTGCGAACTGGCTGAATCCCACCACTGCTCAGGATACTGCAACCGTCATAAATGTGAGTCAGTTGCCAAGCATCCCAGTTTTGATCACGTGACCATGGGGATGCTCCAATGGTCATAAATGTGGAAACAGTCCTAAGTCACTTTTTTCAGCGCCAGTTTAACTTCTGAACGGTCACTAAACAACGCTGTTGGAACTCGAGGACTACCTGTATGCTGTTGATCTGTCCCCGTCCACACACACACACAAACACAGCCAGCCGAGGGTTAAGAAAGTACTTGGCACGCACACAGGTCGTTATCTCAAACTTGGCAGCAATATAATCACCGTCTGCCAAGAGCTTTTACTGCAACAGATAACACAAAATTACATACGCATTGCAAATAGTCCAGCAAAACAATATTCCTTTCGGCAGCTTCAGACGTTGTTCAAGTGACTAGCCAAAGTTCGTTTTTGTTCGTCACGGAGTTTTACCAGCCACCACCCTCTCTTATATAGTCTCTGGGGTGTGGTCCAGTGACTCAGTTCTAATCCCTAGCACGCCTCCTTAACTGCTGCAACCGTTTATCACACCTTCGTTGGCGTGCATCCAGGAATGACGGCTCTCCTTCTTCGCTCTCATCTGAGACACCTGGCTCCTGGCTAATCTCCTCTCCCTCCGCCGGCACCTGAGACAGTGCCAGAGGGGAGGGGCCTGGAGAGGGAGGCCTGGCTGACTCCTCTTCCTCATGTTCGGAGCCTTCTTCCTCCGATGAGATAGGCTCAGAGGGCGGGGCCACAACAGCTGTTTACCCTGACTATTTAAGAACCGTTTCGGGATGGTCCTATTCGTCTTGTTGTGAGGAGACTCAAATCTTTATCTCAGAAGCCGTAGAAGAACAGAGTCAATTGCATTGAAGTTCAGCTGTTCCATGTTGGGAATTTCTGTTCAAGAAAAACCGTGGGGAGTTTTCAGAGTCGGTTTAATGTCAGGGTTCAATGGTGAAATCCAAATTTTTTTTACTACCGGTTCTGTAAGCATGTCTTGGTGGGCGTGGCATGGCATGGCTTGGTGGGCGTGGCATGGTGGGCGTGGCAGGGGAAGGATACTGCAAAATCTCCACTCCCACCCCACTTTGGGGCCAGTCAGAGGTGGTATTTGCCGTTTCTCCGAACTACTCAAAATTTCCACTACCGGTTCTCCGAACTGTTCAAAAGTTCCACTACCGATTCTCCAGAACCTGTCAGAACCTGCTGGGTTTCACCTCTGGTTCTAACTCATAAATTCATTTCAAGCAAGACTCCGAGGCAATTGAATTCCCCAAAGAATTCTTTTATTGGAAATATCATATTAGCACATACCTGGTGAAAACCGACTCTGAAAAACTCCCGTGGTTTTTACCTTCTTAAAAGCAAAAGGTTTTCTACTTCCTCAAAACAATCAGTCACATCAGTGGTGGGTTCCTCCTGGTTCGACCCGGTTCGGCCGAGCTGGTAGCAGTGACGATATGATGTCACCGAACCGGTTCTCTTCGTTCGGGAGCTGGGCCCTCCTGCCCCCCCTGCGTTATTCTTATCTTTTATTTGGCCCCGCCCCCAATCTATTCGCTGCCTCCCGAGTCCCAGCTGATCGACTAGAAGGAAAAAAAAACTGTTTAAACTCTTGCTGTGGGGCTTCAAAGGGCCGCCCTACAGCTGATCAGTGTTAAAAGGCATTGTGGTGGTAGACCGGTGCCTCCAAAAACAAATGAGTAGACCGGTGCCTCCAAAAACAAATGAGTAGACCGGTACAGCTCTACAAGCAGTTAAAAGCCTGGTAGACCAGTACCTCTGCTAAACCCAAAGAATTGTCACATGACCATCAAGCCACACCCACAAAATAAGCCACACCCACAGAACCGGTAGTAAAAAAAATTTAGAACCCACCCCTGGCCCAATCACCGTCCATTCCGACATGGTCCAATCACCGTCCAGTCCGACAACCGGGTGGCATCACTCCATCTTCTTCCGAGCAAATGTGAGAATGTCCTTGGTTCCCAAGAGAAAGTATTTTGTTTTGGCTACAAAAATCCCCTCTATCTCAAATCCCCTCTGTCTGTCCCTCAGCTCCAGTGTGGCAACACTGAAGTGGTCAAAAAATGGTTAATTTGTGCCAACACCCTGTATGCTTGTCACGTCCCTTTGTAGGTTTTCAAATACCGACATCCCTGTCTTCCAATATATGTTCTTTTATTGTTATTATTATGACTATTATTATTTTGCTGTTTTGCCTGTTTTGAAAGGGAAGGTTGGCCGACGGCAAGCGTGCGTTGTGTTTGAAAACTTGGCAGATGACACCATGAGGTCCTGATGAGCTTGTCCCATCCCTGCTGTTTTTAGGATGTTTGTTGTTTTAAAATGATTGGTTTGGGTGTTGTTTTTAATGAGATTTGTGGATGTTTTTTTTTTTTTAATGTCGCCACCCAGACTGGGTGCGATATAAAGTTGTGTAAGTGAATAAATAGCTTTGTCAGAGTAGAGATGAGAACAGAATTGACATCTCATCCGCTACAGGATGCTGTTGTTGTGTAACCATTCCTTGTGGACGTGTGTCTTCTAGTTTTCCCTGCTTCTTGTCTGCCACAGTCTTAACGCTTCCTATTTAGGAAACCTATTTGTCTTACAATTGTATGCAGTCTTTTTGTTAGATTTATTCCCTTCCTTTCTTCCGGCAGCCTACAGCAATCTCCATCTTTTCCTTCATTATTCTGTTCTTTTCACTACCAGTTTTTTTCTAATGTACCTTCCTGTTGCAGTTATCCCTAAAGTATACAATACAGAATACCGTATTTCCCCCAAAATAAGACCCTGTCTTATATTTTTTTGAACCCCGAAATAAGCGTTTGGTCTTATTTTCGGAAAGGTCTTAATATTTTGAGGCGCGTGGAGCAAGAGGGGACTCCTCTTGCCGTGTTACCTGATTTTCAGCTCTGCGTTTAAATATTTTTGGGGCGGGCTTATTTTCGGGGGAAGGCTTATTTTAGCATGCACTCAAAAGCCCGATTGGGCTTATTATCAGGGGATGTCTTATTTTCGGGGAAACAGGGTAACAGAGTTAGAAGGGGCCTCAGAGGGCTTCTAGTCCAACCCCTTGCTCGAGCAGGAGCATCTTTTTCATCATTCCATAGCTGACCAGTCTCTTTTTAAAACTCCTCAGTCAGGGGTGAAATCCAGCAGGTTCTGACAGGTTCTGGAGAACAGGTAGCGGAAATTTTGAGCAGTTCGGAGAACCGGCAAATACCACCTCTGGCTGGTCCCAGAGTAGGGAGGGAATGGAGATTTTGCAATATTCTTTCCCCAGGAGTGAGGAGGGAATGGGAATTTTGCAGTATCCTTCCCCTGCCACGCCCACCAAGACACACCATGCCCACCAAGCCACGCCCACAGAACCGGTAGTAAAAAAGTTTGGATTTCCCCACTGTCCTCAGCGATGGAGCATCTGCAACTTCCAAAGTTTGATTGACTGATTGTCTTCACTGTTAGGAAATTATTCGTTGGTTCTAGATTGCTTTTCTCCTTCATTGGTTTCCATCCATTGCTTCTTCTCCTGCCTTCTGGTGCTTTTTGGAGAATAAGTTGACTCCCTCTTTTTTTTTTTAAATTTAATTTATATGCCACCCTTCTCCGGAGACTCAGGGCGGCTTACAATGCGTTAAGCAATAGCCTTCATCCTTTTTGTATATTTATACAAAGTCAGCTTATTGCCCCCACAATCCGGGTCCTCATTTCACCTACCTTAGAAAGGATGGAAGGCTGAGTCAAACTTGAGCCTTGGAGAGATTCAAACCTGCAGTAATTGCAGGCATCTGGTCTTAATAACCAGCTTAATAACAGGGTGCCTTAAACCCCTGTACTACCAAGGCTCTTCACATGAAATATTAATACCACTTTATAATGTAAGGCCACACTTGGAATACTGCATTCAGTTTTGGTTGCCACGATGTAAAAAAAGATGAGGGGA